ATTGCTTCCAAATGACGTAACAGGAACAGCGAAGGCCGCAAAAATTAACAAAACTAAACGTCAATTATCTCAAAATCCGGTGAGCCGTAAAGTGGGGCTTTTTGAGACAGTGGGGCTATTTGAGACAGTGGCGCAGTCAGGATTTGGTTTCGGGGGGGGGGGGGGGTCATCACCTCCAAAGCGGGCCCCCTAGTGTGCGGGCCCCCACCCATTTTTCAGAATCTTTCCATATTTCATACGTATTCTGTTGAGCGGGCCCCCTTTACCTACACGATAACCCTGAGCGAGTTTGAATCGGAAAATTTTGATAGAACAATAGCTCGGTAATCACCCGGTGTTCAATTTCTACGCGAATTGACCATGACAGAAATATGTTACTGTGAGGTACGAATTCGTATATTTCGAGGCCGAAATGTGCCCCTTCCGCAATATGCATAGCATATATGCTAACGGAGCTGTTGCCTACTTCTATCGGCCAATATTTAAGTAGTCCCAACTCCCATGTGCCTGTCTTAAGTCATCTATTGGCTGCTGTAGTACTTTGTGTCGACAGAAATATGTTACTAGTACGTATGAATTCGTATCTTTCGAGGCCGAAATGTGCCCTTTCCGCAATATGCATAGCATATATGCAAACGGAGCTGTTGCCTGCTTCCATCGGACAAGATTTAAGTACATAGTTCCATGTGCCTGTCCTAAGTCATCTTTTGGCTGCTGTAGAAGATTGTGCCTTTATCCTTCTTCATTACGTAAATTCGATCACAAGAAGTTTTAACCCTCGCCGGCACAGGGGGAGGGGATGATGCAACCCCCTAAGGGTTTTCGTGAAAAACTCGCGTAAAAAGCGGCCGATCGCGACAACACTTTCAGTACCCTAGCGTTGATCAGTTTTACACCTACCCTAGAAATTGCATGACCCTGACTCAAATGACCTTTCACCTGTGACCTACTTTCCGAGACCATGTTTGGCCAGAATCGCGATTCGGCGTATGCCGACTCGCATTAGCCGCGCGTTTGCAGTCTTTTCGTGGTTTCAAGCGTTCAAACATGTGAGTTGATGCTGCTCCCATGCATTAGAGTGGGTGTCAAGGTCACCTGAAGGTCAGGTCAGGTCATTGAACTATGATGACCTCGGTACTTTTTCGAATTATACATGTTTCTAGGCTAGTTTGTGAGCTGAATTCGAATTTAGCAACCATTTGAACATTTACGAAGTAGTTTTGGTGCATTCGTAACAATTGGTGGTAATATGGCATGGACATGGTAACATGGTGCATTGGTCTGTCTGTGGGGACGGGAACTCTGACAGCTGGATTATCTAAAAAAGTCGGCATGGAGTCCTGGAGGGCAAATGCCAGCCACTTAGGGTCCCAACGGGCCTCAAAGCACTACTATCTTCATTTTTGTTTAGTTTAGGTATAGCCTCTGTCGAAGATCCACGGCGATTACGGAGAATCCACCTGAGAAGCCATCAGTTCAGTCTCCAAGTTGATACACAGGCATTGCACTGGTCTGAGAGGGCCCTAGTGGGAAAATACGGTCTCCACTAAGATTGACCCTTAAAGCCTGGTATGGATCATATAAAACCGGTGTGGGCTATCATAGAGGCCGACGTAGGTCCAGAAGCTGGCATTAGCCCTCAGAGATCGGCATCGAGCGCTCAGAGGGGCCCATCAGAAACCGATGTAATTCGCAAAAAAATATATATATATATATATATATATATATATATATATATATATATATATATATATATATATGCGTGTGGGCCCTCGACATAAGGCTCGGCATGCAAATTCTTTAGACAAGGCACTGCCACTCAAACACACGCTCAACAACGAGAAGTGTGATTATTATTGTCTGATGGGGCAATGTGAGGAGGCTATAAACTAATATACAAGCATGAGCCGGCCTACTACTTTTTTTTGTTTTCAAAAAAAAAATATTCATGGTGTCAGGGCTGTGATGAAAAATAAGTGGTCTAAATCCGTTGAGAAAACAGGATTTGGGGGTACCCTAGGTTTGGCTCCTTCAGTCTCTGGCCCCCCCCCCCCCCCCAGTGAAAATTCCTTAGACGAGGCCCTGACTGGTGCTGATCACGAATATCGTGTTAGTTTTGATCAGAGATGATGTCTTTAAGCATTAAGATCAGGTCGGGTCAGGTCAGGTCAGGTCAACCGGTAGGGGTCGTGACGGGTATTCGTAATACGTGTCAACCGCCTCTAACAGTTTCGTAACATGTTACGAAGGCACCAAAACTACTTCGTAAATGTTTAAATGGTTGCTAAATTCGAAATCAGCTCCAAAAACTAGCCTGGAAGCATGTAAAACTATAAAAAGTGAACCGAGGTCACCAAAGGTCAATGACCTGACCTGACATTCAGGTGACCTTGACACCCACCCTAATGCATGGGAGCAGCTTCAAGTCACATGTTTGAACGTTTGAAACCATGAAAAGCTTGCAAACGCGTGGCTAATGCGAGCCGACATACGCCGAATCGCGATTCCGGCCAAACATGGTCTCGGAAAAGAGGTCACAGGTCAAAGGTCATTTGGGTCAGGGTCATGAAATTTTCAGGGTAGGTGTAAAATTGATCAATGCGAGGGTACTGAAAGTTTTGTTGCGATCGGCCGCTTTTTCGCGAATTTCTCGCGAAAAACCTTAGGGGGGGGGGTGCATCACCCCCCCCCCCCGTGCCGGCGAGGGTTAAACCCTCACCCGTATAGGGGGGAGGGGGTCGAACGGACCCCCTCAGTTTTTTCGCGAATAACTCGCGTAAAAAGCGTCCGATCGCAACGAAACTTTGAGTATCCTCGCGTTATTCAATTTTACACCTACCCTGAAAATTCATCACTCTGACTCAAATGACCTTTGACCTGTGACCTACTTTTCGAGACCACGCTGATGCTTGGTCGGAAATCGGAATCGCGGTTCGGCGTATGTGGGCTCGCATTATCCGCGCGTTTGCAGTCTTTTCGTGGTTTCAAGCGTTCAAACATGTGTTGCTCCCAATGCATTAAGGTGGGTGTGAAGGTCACCTGAAGGTCAGGTCAGGTCATTGACCTTTGATGACCTCGGTTTCGAGTTTAACATGTTTCTAGGCTAGTTTTTGGAGCTGAATTCGAATTTGGCAACCATATGAACATGTACGAAGTAGTTTTGGTGCCTTCCTAACATGTTACGAAGCTGTCAGAGGCGGTTGACACCTACTACGAATGCCCAGCAGGACCCCTACTGGTTGGCCTGACTTGACCTGACCTGACCCGACCTGGCCTAAATGCATCTAGTCTAGAACCATGTAAAACTCGAAAAAGTAAAATGTAAAACATGTAAAACTCGAACGCACTGCTGAGTGCTGAGCAGTTTAAAACAAACTCAAACTTCTAGGATATAAGCTATACGGTTGAAAGAGACTCAGTTTTTTATATGCAAGGCCACTTGACTTGGTGATCAGATCTTAGGTACTCTGGCATCAAACTTGTTACACAGGCTGCAAAAGTCATGTTTTAGAGCTGTTTTGCCAAGTGATTTTGCCAATTTTCGCGGCGCTTCGCGCCGCCAGTTCATACTCGAGTCAAAAACAGATCGTGAGTTGTGACCCTCGTTAAGCACCCTCATCAAGCATGTGATTAAGCACCCTCACACGCAGACGCACACGCAGGCATGTATGTGCATTACCATAGACCACTATATATCGTATATAGATACCTATATATGTAGTGGTCTATGGCATTACCTATCAGACTGGTGGGACATGTAAACATTTATACCTCGTAGAAGACAAAAAGCTTTACCGTTAAAACGGTGTCAAATAGGAACGGACTTCAGACTGTACTGTCATGTGTAGGCATTTAGCCCATACCATTAGACATATAGTGCATCGGCCTGAAAAAGTACAGTAACAATATCTATAGGTTTAAGTTTTTAGCCGGCCGATCCGTCCCCTCTGTCGAAAACCCGTAGGTAGGTACATACGTACAGACATCCCAAACATGGAAAGTTTTGCTGCTGACTGCTGAGCCCCCCCCCCCCTGACAATATCATAAAGTTACACCCCTGCTTGTAAGATCTGCGCAGACGTCACAGATTGTAAGCAGAGGCGGATCCAGCTCAGAGGTTTGGGGGGGGGGGGGCAAACCATAACAATTTATCGATTCTTTCCATGCATCGTCCATAGGCGTAACGTTAAAATTATGCCGTTTGGGGGGGGGGGGGGACAAAAGCCCATTTTGCCCCCCCCCCCCTGGATCCGCCACTGATTGTAAGGGGGTATTCAAATGCAATAGCCCCATTGAATCCGAAAACTGCAGACTTTGAAATTGAATATCTCCGAATAAAAACATTTCTCGGTGTTATAAGTGCCCATGCCGGTAATTGCAAGCCAGGGACCCCAATTTGGCTATCTCAACTCGAAAATAATGCTAAGGTGGGATCGTCACTTTAATCACCTCAGGTTTCGTAACACGCTTGGCTCCGTCCCCTGACATGATTGCGCTCATTGTGTGCCTCTGGGCCGATTGTGCAGCCGCCACATGGTGCACTGTCGATAATAAGCACGTCTGCTGCGCGGCTGCCCCGCGGCCGGCCATTGCCACGGCGCGGCCTCGGCGCCGACCCGGTCCCTGGGACTGACCACCCTCCAGCCCGCTCCTCTCCTCCGTGACCCGGCATCCAACCGCAACGAGCGAGCGGCACCGGCCGGCCGCTAATTACAACATGGCTGTCAGCCGTCACCATTTCTGGCGGAGGAACTGCGCCGATGACACCGGCGCCGCGGGCGCCTCCCGGCCGGCGGCCTGTTCTGCATTGGCGCGCGCCGGCCCCCGGCCCCACGCCGGCGCCCGTCTCCCCCGAACACAAAGAGACCACTCTGAAAGACGCCGGCTCGCTGATTGGTCGAGCGGCTGGGCGTCTGACCAATGGTGGCCGCAGGAGGGTTTAAAGCCGCCGGCGCTGATTGGCTAACGGCCGGTAGTGCCGACTGCGCCTGCGCGAGGCCGCCGCCGACGGAGGCCGACGCAGCGTGAGGTTTGCTGCGGCGGGTGCTGAAGTGTTGTGGGATAGAGCGAGTTCTGCGTGAGATTTTGCGTGTTTCTTCATGCGATATTGTTGCAGAGATCGTTCGCTAACCTCTGGATTAGCGGGGACACCAGCAGGTAAGCCGGTTGCGAGCGGGGGTCGATTTTGTCGATCGGTGTCAGCGTGCAGGGGTGTCGCCGCCGCCATATTGGGTTGGCGGCCGCTGTTTGCCCAGTGTGTTCCGCCGCGGTCAACCCTCCCTGCTGGCGGCCGGCGCTCACTGGCACGCCGCCAGCACGTGGCGCCGCCATCGCTGGCCGGTCGGTGCCGCCAGTGGTGGGACAGATGACTGCATCCCGCCCCGTATTGATCGGGTTTGGCGATAGTGACCCAGTTTCAAGGTTGTTTCAAGGTTATTCTGGCCATGTGATTCATTGGCATTGTAGGTACTTTTGGTTGGTAGGCGTACTGCATGCCATTGATAAGCTAGAAATCAGACTCAATCGATTAAGTCGTGGATCAAGGTCATGACCTTTATGTATTAGCTTCTCGCTCGCATCTTCTGGGACACATTCCCCGTGAAGCTAAACCTACCGATTTTCTAGAATCCCATACTGGGAATGGTATTCAGCGTTGTCCAAGTCGGGCAAGTCCGATGCCTACTGATACATTTCATCAGATGGCCTAAGGTCATAGGATAGTAGGCCTAGCCTAGGGTCCACAGTCCAACTCGGTCTGTGACACTGCACATGTGCTTTGTCAGACTGTCTCTGTGCTACGGCATCGCACAGTCAGCCAGCGGTGGAAAGTTCGGAATGGCGACGTCCAGTCGTACCAAAGTCGTTCCTCGCCTACTTTCTCCGTAGGAATTTTCCGTAGGGTAAATAGGATTGCGACCTGAATTGAGCAAGATGGCTTGATTGTTAACGAAGAATCGTCTCCACAGGACAGTATCATTTTAAAACGTTTTTTAGGCCTGCGTCGGGCTGCTGGGATAACCGCCCTAAAGAATTCCCACTGTCCGTCCTGTGCTAGAGCAGTTTGTAACCGTCCCAGGTCGCACAAAGACTCGTGTTATCGCAGCATTAAGTCCAAAAACAAAATAACGCTCTTCCTTCTTATGCGTTTCGTAAACCAAGTAGTTACGCAAGAGTGTTGGAATGCTTATGTGGCTTTGGTTATTTGCTGAATTGAAATATGAAAGTTGAAGATATTTTTAGTGACGCTATTTTTGCTGTCGGAGCCACCGAACTTTCTTAAGGTCCAAAATAAAACATAAAGTTCATCACAGGCGATGAAGTGTTGCCCCATTGTCCCATTCTTGGCGTTATGTGCGCCAGTGCCGCCGCTGCATTCACCAGGGCGACCGTGCCAGGTTTCCCTGCGCTATTAGCGGACCCAGGGCTTATTTACCGAGCCGGCTCCGACGGCCCGCACCGACAATGTCGCTAAGGGCCATCCGCCGCGGCCGGGTACGTCAAAGTGGCCTCTATTGGCAGTGGCGCGACGGGCGGCGTACGGCGGGGAATCGGACGGGGAGCGGCGCCCGGCCGGCAGCGGCGGCGGCGGCGGACCGCCCCGCGGGGCGCCGCCCGGCCATCCACAGGGGCTCTGACGCACACACTGCTGGGGTAACTTACATGGGGAGGAGGGAGAAATAGCCGGGGGACAGTGGATCAGCAGGTATCAGGGAAATAACACCGTGGTGGCTGATGGAATAACACTGAAACTGGATCAAATTGGTCAAATTCGGCAATTTCTTTGCATCGATTTAAGGCAATTGGTTATCGCTTTATTTCTTTCTAAGTCTGAGCACCGAAAGCGCACATTCGTATATTTTAAATTTAAATCTGAAAATGGATCCGAACCCTTTCGTGCTTGAATATGCCTTTACGAAATAACAAAAAGGTTAGAAATAAACGGTTGGGATGCTTGCCTACTTCCTAATTCCTTGGCTCATTGCTTCCGACACAAGAAAATTCGGACAGTCATTTTGTCACCACCATCTCTCTCTGATCATGCGACGACGCACTAAATGTTGTACCGGAACATACCTAAATGATCGGGACTGCATGCATATTGCATATACTGTTATTAGGTCGTTACAAATGATTATGATATGAGGCTGTTACATGAGGCCGAACGTTTGTATGAACCCCCAAATGATAAGTTCAATAGTTATTGGACTACTTCTTGTTCTTTTCGTCGTCGCGCTTCTTCGACTCATGAAGTTTACCTTCGTGCATAAGCTGGTCGGTGAATGACCATATGCACCATAAATTGTAAAGACGTTTACAGCTATGGTGCGGCAACAAACGACAGGAGATTGATGAAAGTACGGGATGTTTTCTCCGGTATCGTACGGAGATCAGGGATGGAGGTTGATGAACTATATGTCTATATGTACTGACAATTAAAATTTGATGGAATTAACAGGTGAAGAAAGCAAATGCGGCGGATATCTTTTGTATCAACTGTATCTTATTGTACCTGATGTATCTATTTTTTACGTGAAATATCTAATTTAAACTAAACGATAGACGACTTACGATTTACGATTAACTATTTTGTGACGATTCTAGAGAAACGATTTGCGAAAGGTCTTTGCATCGCTTATTTGCTGACAATATCGCATTCTCGAACAGGGGCGTCGTATATTAAGTGCGCGATATAAGGGAGAACATCACCTCTGCTGTTCCCAAAACAAATCCCATCTTTAAGCGGGACGGGGTATCATATGCGAATGCTAGGGTAGGGGAGAGCGGGGAGAGTTGTATCATGTCCAAGTTGTATCAGGGCGAATTGTGCCAAACTTATCCAATGGATGGCGCTCGCGACACGACCAGCCGACGAGGTTTTCCGGGCGCCATCTTTCCCTGTTCTGTCTTGTGGCTGAGTGGACGCGTCTCGAGGTGAGAGCCGATTTTATGTTTTTTTTAATGTCATTCTAAAAAATAAGTTGCAAGAAAATGTGTGTTCTGGGCATTTAGATGTGCACGAATTTGAAAGATCTCCGTAGCGGTGGTGAGGGTAGGTTCTAAGGCTGCGTGAGTGAAAACGGATTTCTCCAGCTGTCCGCTGTTTTTTTAGCACGAGGATGTTTTTTCCAAGATGGCGGCTAGGTACATGTTGTATCAGAGCCGGGTGGGGTATGTTGGTAACATGTATGCATGTATGTATGTATGGGTATGTTGCTTTTGATCGCGAAAGCTAAGCCCTGGCTCGCGTTTGTAGGTAGCTAGTCAATGCTCGTTCCATTTCGGCACAATGTGTTAGCTTCTCTGCCACTTTTGCGTCTAGTCTGTTGATGTTTCGCTCGGATTGCATTGACCTAAGTTTGGTCTAATAAAGTGAAGCCTTTGAGCATACCTATACATTGCATTAACCCCATTTAATGTTGTTGTTATGTTCAAAACCAGTAGCAAGCACACTCCCTGAAACGTGAAATAGTGATACAAATTACCCCACCATGTGATACAACTCACCCAAGCCATGGGGCAAGTTGTATCAAAAACATTGTTCTATTCGGGAGACCGTAGAAGAAAAACTGGTAGAGGTAGCGGAAAAGTTACTTTGCACAAAAAAGCAGAAGAATCAAGGAAGGAGAAAGTATGGAAATAATGAGTTTATCACGGATAGTTACGAGGTTATGGGTCTCGGAGTAAAAACTGATACAACCCACCCCACTCTCCCCTACATCAGAATCTCTGAGTTGGAACAATATGGCCTTTGGTAGGAGCCTCACATCATTCAGTAGGGGCACCAAGCCTGGACACACTGTACGTGAGATTTTTGCGGTATGCTGGCTATGCCACCACTGACGAAGATTCTATTTCTTAGTTCTAACGATCATGTGTCTGGCGGCGCGCTTGCGGCTTGACCTAAGCGTCAATATGCTTGGTCAATATGGGGAGGTCAGAGTGGGGACTGGGGACCATCGACCCGACAGAACTGCCGTTTTTTCCGGGGGATCTAGCTTATAGCTAAGTACGGCTTTTCAGATTCATAGGTTTCTTCATCCTGACTTTGAACAATTATTTTATAGGCATACTGTGAGCCGTTACTTAGTCTTGCACTGCTACAACGGTGCATATTGCATATTTGCTGGATATGCGATTTGATTTTGTTATGATACGATTTTAATTCGAAAACATCGTTAATTTTACGATATTTTCTTTCTAGAAGATTCTAGATAAAAAACGAATCCTTTGCTGCCAATATTTTCCCAGCGACGAGTGCCTATTAAAGTGAAAAGTCGAAGCCGAACTTCGAACGAGAAACGAAGTTCATTGCATTTTTGTTTAGTTGGGTTAGCATTTTAACCCTCCCCCTTATTGACCTTTATACAGAGCGTAACTATATGGGGGTGGGGGGAGGGGGTGGGGCTCGCTAGGACCCTCAGCCGTTCAGCCCCTGATTTAGCTACAGCTTCACGGGAATAACGAGCGTGTTGTCGGTCATGAGAGGGGGCCGTTGATACCCAATTTTAACTTTTAAGGTCCTAGTTTAACCCTCGCCGGACCTATTGGTTTTCTACATACGCGCCGGCCGAGGGGGGGGGGGGGCGGGTACGACCCCCTCGCCGTTTCTCCCCTGGCGAAGCTAGCGCGTCGCGGAAAAAAACGAGCGTGTGCGCCGTTACGAGACGCAGGGATTGGTACCCGATTTAAGGTCCTAGGTCAACCGGTGACCTCTGAGGTCAGGTCAAGTGCCCCAAGGTACGGTTCAGTTTTTGGTGAATAACTTCGCAAAAAAAAAAACGGTCGCCGAGTGCCGATTTTGGCACCATCGTGTTCGCCTCGCTCAGGCGCGTCGAATGATATACTTTTTGTTTGGGTCAGGTCAACTTAGGGTGTTGACCTCAGGTCAAGGTCAGGTCAGTGCCCCCCGGTCACGAAGTTGGTCGAAAGAGGTCATGTCGCATATCATTCGATTCGGTAGGTCTTCCTGAGTCCATTGGTGGCTTTCCCGACTCGCTAGCTCAATTTGATCGGGAGTTATTGACGACAAACTAATATGACCTTGATGACGTCATAAATGACGTCACGCAAGGTCAACATTGCAAAAGTGACGCATATAACCTTGCAAGGAGGGCTTCAAATCACGATTTTGTGTGCTGGAGATAGTTGGAGATCGTTCCCGGCGCCAGAATAGCAGTTTTCATTTTTCCCCATTGACTTATAATGGTGAGGTCACGAAAATGACCTGACCTCATATGACCTTTAGGAAAAATCCGAGATAAACAAGTTGTGAGACTTGTAATGGATACTAGATCCTGCAAGTTTCATTTCTCTGTGAAAGTTCCTCTGGCAGTGAGGGCGTTTTTCTATGGCTATGGGGTTTTTCGGGGTGCTGATCACGAATATCATGCTAGTTTTGATCACAGATGATGTCTTCATTCATTTAGGCCAGGTCGGGTTAGGTCAGGTCAGGTCAACCAGTAGAGGTCCTGCCAGGTATTTGTAGTAGGTGTCAACCGCCTCTGACAGCCTCGTAACATGTTACGAAGGCACCAAAACTACTTTGTAAACGTTCATGTGGTTGCTTAATTGGAATTCAGCTCGAAAAAACTGACCTAGAAACATGTCAAACTCGAAAAAGTGAACCGAGGTCACCAAAGGTCAACGACCTGACCTGACCTTCAGGTGACCTTGACACCCACCCTAATGCATGGGGGCAACATCATATCACATGTTTGAACGCTTGAAACCACGAAAAGACTGCAAACGCGCTGCTAATGCGAGCCGACATACGCTGAATCGCGGTTCCGGCCAAACATGGTCTCGAAAAGTAGGTCACAGGTCAAAGGTCATTTGGGTCAGGGTCATGAAATTTTCAGGATGGGTGTTAAATTGATCAATGCGAGGGTACTGAAAGTTTCGTCGCGATCAGCCGCTTTTTAAGCGAGTTATTCGCGAAAAACCTTAGGGGGGTTGCATCAACCCCCCCCCCCCCTGTGCGGGCGAGGTCATGTTTTGATAGCAAGACTGAAACAGACTTTTTTGGGTAGCCAGGAAATCGCATGCCAGAGCCTATTCAAATTCTTTTATCGGCCTTTATATGCACCAGTCGCATACAGGTACGGGATTTAGCATACGATTTCCAGACAATCGAACGACTGTTTGGAGACAACAAAGGAAGGAATGAGTGAGTTAAGTTGAAACTTGAAAGTATTAATTTGGTTCAAAATGATGATGTAGATAACCTAGTTATTTAAAGCTGAATATCTTATGACGAGAGCGGTTGGCATTTTTGGTATGCAGTGTTATTCATTGAGAACCGGTCGGAGCGTTTGAGTCTTTAATTTAGTGGTCGCCTCTTACTAATCATGCGGCATACACGCCGCACATAACCGCCAATGCCGCAACGTAGCTTAGATTTCGAAGTAAGCATTTAGTCCCACCCCAAAAAGCGCTGCCGTTTCTGAGATACTTGGTAAAAACTTGAGGGAGCGTGAACCTTCCGCACGAGGCAGGTTAAAAGGTACCCCCAGCACCTTTTTACTTTCCCTTTCCAATACTCTTCTCCATTGTTTCTAAATCGCCAAATCTAACGTGTTACGTCTGTTGATGGTCGCCATGGAAGGGACGCAGAGGAGGAGGGCTGCAGAGGACGGCGGAGAGCCCGGAGCCGTGCGCCCGGTCACCGACCTCCTCTGCGGCCGGCCGGCCGG